ATAGACGATACGGCGACGGCCAAAACTTCTTCGACCGTAATGTTCACATTTTCTGCTAATGAAGACACCTCCAATGGTTATATTCCCTGATAAGCGACTACAACTGGCGTTACCTCCGAAGTTTTATCAGATTGGGGTATAGGCCTTAATGACTATGACTGGATGAAAGCCGAAGTATTTCACGATTACATAGAGAGTGTAAGTACTACACCCTCATTTGATCAAAAAAGGAATTCAATTCCTCATATAATCTATGCCATTAGTAGGCTATGTAAAAAATTAGAAATCGTGCTAATTGCACTGTACCCCAACTGTACTAGATTACTGCAGCCAGTTGATGTGTCAGGATTCAAGCCATTGAAATCTGGTTGGCGGAAAACTGTCTTGGAGTGGAGGCTAAACAATCCATTAGTAGCTCTCCCTAAAAGCAGTTTCGTACAGCTTCTAAATATAACGATCAAAAACACGATCATGTCATTGTTATTAATGGATTTAGAGAGGGTCTACACAGGGTCTCACAGAATACCAGCGTAAAATAGTAGCTTAATGCTGCTGTATTTCGTATGGTGAGTGTAGAGAACCGGAGACCCTTTTTACTGGAAACTAGGCATTCCATCTTAGTCCTCGGGTGACGCATCTGCATTTTGATTCGCAATGAGGATAGAGTAGATGTCTATGGGCCACAGCAACCATTACATAAGGTGGACTGTGTGCTCGTTTCTCACCCTATATAAAAAAAAAAAAAAAAAAACAGGCCTTTGCCCGTGGAATGTGAACGCAGTGGACTTTATAAAATGTATAGGCTAGCAAAATATGCCACGTGCAGAAATTATTTATTTATCTATTATAAAATATTAAAAAAAGGTATGAAACAGGTTACCGATATAAATCCTCCGTGGGCTTATAAGATACGGCACAAATTGTGCTGGTCTAATAACCAACGGTAGAAAACTCGCCAGCGGTCGTGTTCGCCATAAACTAAAGTTTGCACTTTGTATGGGCCACTTACATATACAAGTACACTGGACTGGCTATACACCGTGACATGATAGGCAATTTGATTTGCGCCATTTTGGCGCTGACAGCGTGACAGAAGTGCACGTCCATGGAACTAATAATAGGGATAAGACAGTGTGACAAAATATATCGATAAAATTCTATACCCTACCAATACCTAAATAAATAGAATGAACTCTATGGATTGATAGACTCTACCTGTAACGTCCATTCTATTTATATATCATATTAATATAATGCCACTATCATTCATCATCATTAAAGCCCTTCACAAGTCCACTGCTGAACATAGGCCTCCCCCAAGGCATGCCATAAAGCACTTTCATGCACATCCGCGGCCACTTCGGCGCCAGCCTGATAAGGTCAAAGAATCCTTTCCTTTTTGATCAATGACTCTAACAAACTAGCAGGCGAAATTCCCCAGTCCTTTGGTTCATAAAAAGCAGTCAAAGATTGTTGAAGTTCATCCTGTAATGAAATATTCCTTTCTCCCTTTCGCTTCCATGGTATTGGCATGAAAGAGGAATGTCGTCATCATCATTGTCTCCCGCAACTTCATTAGTACCGCTGTCAGATATTAAATTTGTAACCTGACAACTGTGTTGAGAATGCAATCACTCAATGGGTGATTTGATTTCACTTCGAACTCATCTGATTCTTCGTGGTATTTAGCAGGATCTCTATGGTACAACAAATATACTATCATATTCGTCCTTCGCTCGGAAAAACGCTTTCTCAGTGGTGCCAGCTATGTTTTCTGCCAGTGGCGTTTTGAGTTCTTCTAGCTTACGAATCATAAAACGAAGCGTGGTTTCTGCAATACCCAAGTCAGATTCGCGATGACAATACGTCTACAACTAGATTTACAGGCTGGAATATCTTATCTAAGTTGAATATAACGGTAACTTCTTCCAAACTCTAACAGTACTTCGGATCAGCATGAAGGCTTAGGTCGATCAAAGCTTTGCTAACACCTTGTTTGAGTTTATTAAATGTAGAAATCATGTCTGCGAGACTCGATCAGCGAGTTTTACAATAATGTTTAAGTTTATATTATTGCCAAATTCATGCTTTACGTATACTCGAGTAAATCATTTTTGTTGGCGACTTTTAAAGAGTTTGACCATCCTTCTGACTTTTTCCTTAATATCTGCATATTCTATAGCTATGTAAACCTCTCTTCTTGGAAAAATGTAATAAAGAGCATCGTCTTCAGTAGGTACCTGTTTCCGTTTTCCTCATTTTCAGACTGTATTTCTAGATGCTCGCCATCATCATCTTGAACAGTTTGTTTTTTGTAAATATTGCAATGTATATGGCAACCTGAACTCCGTGAGCATAACACAGCTGATGTAATGGTGACATTAAACGTTCTAACTTTTTAATTATAGAAGTAATATTGATAATATCATTTTCTAGACTTAGTTCAATTTCATGCAACTTTTTTTTTGAAAATTACTGAAAACTACGAATTTACCGAGAGAAATTCCCGACCGCTACTCTCGTCTGATAACAGCAGCATTTCAGCGAGTGTTAGAAAATCGGCCTATTGCTCCGGTAGCGGCAGGAGGTGGAAGTCAAGTAGCTGTATACACGAAGTATCGCTAGATTGTTAAGGCGTCGGGATGGAACAAGTGTGTCATACTGGATAGTTCACAAGGTGTTAAAACGTAACTGAATGCGCCCATACCACTGACCTCTATATATACAAGTACGCTGGACTGGCTATACCATACAAAATGTCTGTGCCAATTTGAAGCACTCCTAACGGTCGTCTTGGAAACTAAAATTGACATAATATGCCAAAGTCTGTTGTCGTATCTTTGATTATATACATATTTAAAATTAAATTATACATACAGAAGACAATGATTCATATGAAATCTGGTATTAAATTCTCAAATATAGAAATCTTATGTCTAGACAATCTGCGTATTTGTTTGGAACTGGTCAAAGCTACTGTAGAAGTACTCTGCCACAGATATGCCACCATTATAACAGCGGACACAGCTCTTAAATTTTCGATAAAATCATTAGACAGCCAAGACAAGAAGTCTTCCAGGCAACTGGCACAGCACTGGCACAGGCAACGGAGAATTAAAGAGAGGTGACTCTATAATGTTGTCGGTGCATTACAATACTTACACAACCCTAATCATTTTTTAAACGAGACTAATGAAGACAAGGATACATTTGAAAACCTACATATGAAGAAATTAAAAATGTGTTCTATCAAGCTGCATCCCTGGATGTTGACGATTGCACGAGCACATCGACTAATACGAACTCTATTTCAGAAACTTTGTGCGATAGTTCTGATCCATCGCCGCGCAGTTTTAATGAAAAGCTCAATCGTCAACTTTCTCTTGCAATTGTGGGTAGTGATCATTAACACCAGTCAACGAGTGTAAACAGCGCTACTGATTTGTTTTCAATGATTCATGTTGAAATAGCTTTACTTGAAAATGGTGAAGGTTGTGAAGAAATCCTAAAAAAAAACTCTGAACGCAACCTTTTCCGTACCGCCGACCAGTGTTCGAGTCAAAAATAGCTTTTTCCACAGCTGGCGTGTTCTGAAATGAAATAAGATCACGTCTAAACGTGAAACACTTGACGCTTTCATGTTTTTAAGATCTCGTTTTCTAAAAAAGACTGATTAATATATGTGCTAAATTAATGTCATAAAAATAGAATTTGTTAATTATTTCTTCTCTTATTTGTAACTAGGTTAACTTAAACATTAGTTTTTTGAGACTGCAGTTTTATAAATAAAACCGACCAAGAACGTGTCGGGCCACGCTCAGTGTAGGGTTCCGTAGTTTCCCGTCCGTCACAATAAGTGTTCCCACTTATGAGTTTAAAGGTGGGTATTCATTATGTTCGCGCTCCTGCAGCGCTCCGCGCTCCTGCAACTGCTCCCGGTAGTGGGTATTGTTGTTTCCATCCAAGTTCAAAATGATTTTCCTAGAAAGTCCTTATAAAGTTCTACTTTTCAGATTTTTTTCATATTTTCTAAACTTATGGTTCAAAAGTTAGAGGGGGGACACATTGTTTTTTACTTTTGGAGCGATTATTTCCGAAATTTTGACATTATCCAAAAATGATTTTAGTAAACTCCTATTCATTTTTAAATACCTTTCCAACAATATATCACACGTTAGGGTTGAAATTAAAAAAAAATCACTTCCCACTTTACATATAGGGTGGCTACCCTAATAAAACATTTTTCAATTTTTATTTTACCACTTTGTCGGCGTGATTGATACACATATTGGTACCAAATTTCAGCTTTCTAGTGCTAACGGTCACAGAGATTAAGCGAGGACGGACAGACAGACATGGCGAAACTAGATGGATAAACTAGATGGACATGGATACTAAACTATCTTACGTTTTGTTGCATTTGATTTTATGTTATGTTCAGTTAATGACCGTGTTTTGTTGTTTATTTTAGTTGATTTTATTCTGTCGTGTGGGAATAAATGCACATTTTAAATGATTTATGCTGTTTTATTTCAGTTTTATCAAATCATCTTAAAAGTTCGAATAATCCGGATCATCCGAACTTTTATCATAGGAAAATTCTGAAATTCGTGTTTCAATAGAATCCGGATTTTGCAATCTCTAAAAGTGGGTCAATAATTGGGAAAAGCATGCACTTTATAAAAACTGCAAAAATACATATAAATATTTTGCATATTAGATGGGTCATGTAATAAACGTCAATGAACATTTTATTGAAGTCTAAGGGTTGATTTTTCCACCGTTAGATAAAAGTTAGGTATAATATATCAAATAAATAATGAGCTGATTCAATAGAAAAGCGTAACAATTGAACTATTTTATTTATACAACTCTAGCTCTTAATTGGCATAAATTTTGTCTTGTCCAATTGAATAACTTTTACCTGATGATTGAAAATCGAATTGTTTGTTTTAGTAAATAATGCTATTTTATAATCACATTGAATTAGATGACAAATTTTACGTCTCATTAATGTCTTCATTTTCTTTTGCTTTTTTTGGTTTATATACACGGATACCATGGCCCTCACAAATAAGATCTTCTTCATAGCATTTGTTCCTACAACACTTTTTGCAAAACAGATGTACACACTTTGCGCCCTGGAAAATAAAATATTAAATCACTCATAGGAGAAGATTGTGACAAACGTGCTGAATCACAGGATTCACATATTTAAAAATGTGTGATAGCGACAAATAATGAGCTGTAATATTTCTATATCAAATATAGGACTAAGAACAAGAGGTTGACAAAGGAAAATAGATGGCAGGCCCCTAATTATTCGCCCCTATTCGGAGCGGCCTCTCCGAATAGGTTTGCCTAGCCCATTCCGGACGTGCGTTGGTGGACAGTGGCGGTAATGGTAAAATTACCTCATTTTATCTCGTAAAATTTTATTACGGGAAATCGCGGTATAACATCTATAATATGTAAATTCCCTGATTAACGAAGGGTTCTCTCCCCGTACATGCATGCCATATGCGATTGCCCATATGCCTGCAAAACGTGTTTTCTTAAAATATTAGGGAACTCGCAGTCCTAATGTAAAGTGGCTACAGCAAGCAATTTTAAATAAGTTAGGTCACAGTTGGTACGTAAGTAAATTGGCTGTCATTACCTTCAAATCGGAACACACTAGTGCGTGCACCGATGTGTTCGGAGGTAAAAATAAAGAAGTAAATATAAAAGGGTATTAAAAACACAAATGTACTCATGAGCATTGAAGGTGCCATACCACCTAGTAGTGCTCATAAAGACAAATCTTACTAAAGAGGCCGATGTCTAGGATGCAGAGACTATTTAAAGAATGATCATAAAGGTGTCGAGCGTGCAAAATTATTTAATAAATATACTAGTTGACCAGGCAGACTGTACTGCCCTTTTCGACGACCCTCTTTAAATATGTAATAAAATATTTTTATATGTGGTGAAGCCAAGCTGCAGTTATATTAGTAGTATAGTTGTAGCACGAATGTGTCGGCTCGACCGCGGAAGGACCACGCTCTCATAGAATACCGAGTAAAATAGCAGCTTAATGCTGCTGTGTTTCGTATGGTGAGTGTAGAGAACCGGAGACCCTTTTTACTGGAAATTATGCATTCCATCTCAGTCCTCACGGGTATCCCAACGCATCCGCATTTTGATTCGTAATCGAGGATACATGTAGGTGTCTATCAGTTGAAGTTTGTGCTCGTTTGTCAGCCTATCCTATAAAAAAAATTATATATTACCAGTGGATTTGGGCAAACATCATTAGCACATATTTCTCTCACTCTATTGGTTTGTGCATCTGATTTATTGGGTCTTCTCAAATATCGCCTCAATTTCTTCATTTTCTTTCTAGAAATAGCATTTCCATCAGAATCCTCATGAATTCTTTTAATATTACAATCCTAAAACAGCAATAATCATAAGTTACGATAATTTGAAATACGATAGTTTACCTGTTACCACCATTGCATCATTTCATCGCAATTTATGTTCTACTTTGGCGAGTCAGTAAAACGAAGTTGATTTTTCACCATATTGATAAATGATATATTTATTACAAGCAAGACGATTTAAATAATTATTCATATAATTTTTGTATTATTAATGAAATTAAATTATAATATTTACAATTAATACTAATTATACACAATATATATAAAAAAGAAACTAAAATATAGAAAAACTAACACTAAAAAAATGTAGCTCACACATGAAGTGTCACATGACAATCTAAGCCTTGCCTAGACAAAGAGTTGAGCTTAACAGAAACCTATTCACTTTAGCTTCGAAGACAACTGTCTAAGGATAGAATAGAATGATAGACCGAAGGTTAATTATAAATTTCTACTGCCTTGTTGCGAGTATAAACGGGAAGTAAGTCATTAGACTCGATTAGATGGCATATCAATAAAAAAATATGGAGACCCGCCGAGTATCCGGTTATCCGAGTGTAGGAAGGGTGGAATTAAGCCTTCAGTTCCTCAATCTGTGTATTTTGTAATATTTCATTTAATTCTACATTGATATCTATTAAGATGCGTGAACTTAAAACACTTCAGTCATAAAGAAACTTGGGCCGGGCGGACCGGAGGGAAGAGTCATACGCAGGCGTTCTCCATTGCTAAAATACAAGTCCACGCGGTCCTATGCGTACCATAAAACGAGTTGAAGCTACATTGCTCACTTACTAGTAAGTAGACTAAATCTAGTTGCTGAATCGACAACCTGCAAAAATGGTAGTGTTGCTTGGGATTTGTTTATCAACACTATTTTGCTCTATGGCTTTAGTGAAAAAAATTGAGCAATACGAAAGATCGAGTTTATTTAAGGTTTTTAAGTGATGGTTTGGGCGCAACAGTTTTATAATCTATACCTTAAAATGTGTTTAAACGTGACTCAATATAAGTGTCACAAGTCTTAAGATTCATAACGTCCGCAATTTTAAAAAAATTAATGTAGGTGTTCAAATTTCCAAATAAAATTCGTCAGTAATTGAACAAGATCGAAAAATTTTTCAAGTACGTACGTTTTGTAACAGTTTCGGAGGCGCGGACCTTATTTGAGATGGGAATTCAGCCAGGTAGCATTCTGCGTCCACAAAATTAAACATAAGTGAGAATGCTAAATATGTTAGTAAGAAAGAGTTAAATTGTGCTGGTCCAATCTGCCCATATTTGCCATATAATATAATAATTTATAAATATTTTAGAAAGCACCAAATCGAGTTTAGTAAAAAAAAATATTTTGTTGTTTTCAAATAAGATAGCAATATAGCGCATTCAAGAGTTACCTGTTGTTTACTCAGAAGTTCCATTTTTTGAGTGTGCTCCTCTGGCGAAATTCTTACATATGGTTGGCATATCCACGGAGGTAATATTAAGTCAAATCCTCGTCTTGTTATACCTTCATCATCCTGAAAATTCATTCTACCTTCATGGAATGGTAAGTATTTAGCTCTAATGTTAATGCAAACTTGTCGGAAGTCATCCAAATTTTGTCCTGTAGCAAGGAGCTGCCTATCTTCATTGTTATTGTCAAAAGTAAATCTAAAAAATTTATAATCATGAATTTGGATTATTTCATAGCTATACAAGATTAAATTGCCTGTGAAAAATAGAAACAATCACTTAATGTTAGCATGATTTAAAAGTAAATATTGTAAAAGAGTTGTTTTTTTAATAGGATAAGGGTGACAAACGAGCACACAGTCCACCTGATGGTAAGTGGATGCTGTGGCCCATAGACATCTACATTTAACTCCGCTTAAGAATTAAAATGCAGATGCGTTGCCACCCTTGAGGACTAAGATGGAATGCCTCGATTCCAGTAAAACGGGTCCCAGGTTCTCTACACTCATCATACGAAACACAGCAGCATTAAGCTGCTATTCTATGAGAGCGTGGTCCTTCCCCAGTCGAGCCAACCCATTCATGCTACAACCATAATAGCTGTGTGTGGCTCTACCACGTATAATGGCGTGTTATGGCGGCATTAAAGAATCGATTCCATATCACAGATACAAAATCACTTAGACAGACAACAGGATGAAAAATTCAATGCAAAACATCTGGTAGGATGATTGTTAAGCCTTGTCTAGCATGGAGATTATGGCAAATCCTTTCTACTACGGGAGACACATGCCCAGCAACAAACTGTTTGGAAAACAGTCTATCGTCGGACATATTATGCCACTCCATAAGGATTAATGAAGAGATTGAGCTTCTCAATATATTTTACATGATTTTTTGTTATATAGTATGAACTAAACTCGAATTTAGACATTGTGGAGTTTGACTTCAAAATCGAAATTGTCTCTGGATATCGGCCTTAGCAGATGGCTATGCTCTGATGGGAGAAATATAAAAGTATGTATTGATATTATTTACGTAACTTCTTTGGCAGTAACCGAAATGTGTCCATTCTCAAATGAGTGTGCTCACTCATTTGCAATCAGTGCTCATTTGTGCGCGGTGACAGCCAGACGTTGCACATTGGAACTAACGCGCTTTTTTAACAAAAAAAAAAAACCTCAGAATGCTATCGAATCGAATGCCTTTCGAAAGTGCAATATCTAATAATTCTAGAAACACAAATAAAGCCGAAGGTGTAACATTTCACTCGTAAGTATATATATTTTATTAAATATTGGATTTATTTATTTTATTCCGATGTCAGAAAATAGCACGAAATAATTACGGGCAAACGGAAACTGAGCGACAGAGAAAGTAGTATACACAATTTCCATAAGATAATAAGAGATGACACAATTGTCTCAGTACTCTTCTAATAACCAATTTAGTTAGATACTCGGATGTACGAAGGAAGCGGAACTCTCGGAAACGCCGTGGTAGCGCGCGCATTTGTGTGAGCGCGTCAGCGTCTTGCAAACGAACACATTCAAAAATAATGCAACAGTTTTTCAAGGTGAAGGCGCATCTAACGATTTAAATCTTTGCTTCCAAAGAAGTGTATTGAAGAATTCAGCTTCAACTTTCAACCTTTTTGATATAGGTGTTTACTTTTTAAAGTTTAATTTATTTGACCCTTCCGAGTGGAAAATGTTGTCTCAATAGTAACATAAAAAATTTCATTCCCTATTATTTTCACCTTCACTGGTGAAATTTTTCTTCAAATATAAATGGAACCTTGCCTAACACTATTTAAAAAACGATCAAATAAACGATAAAACAGTTCACATTTGTTATCGTTAATTATATTTCAAAATGTACTTACATTTTATGGAAAATCTTAAACAAATGGCCCCTGATAAAAGATGACGGACATGGATATTTTTGCACTAGATCAAGGTATTCCATGGTAACTTCCCAAGTCACTGCATTAACACCTTCAAAAAGGGCAGGATTTGTTAAAATTCCTTCTGCGCTCATAATACCATCAACTTGAGTGTAATTTAAGCATCTGTTAACATCCTCTAAGCATTGTATGTTACCATTTGCAAACATGGGTATTGATACCGCATCCCTGAAAAGAAATAATGGCAATGTTCTAGAAAAACTTAAAAAAAAAACAAAAGTGATATTAAAACCACTTATAATCCTTGTCAAGCTTTATAATGAAATGCGAGTCTTGGATTCCAATCGCAGCTGAAGCATATTTCTGCAATAAAACACAGGTATTTGAAAAGGTGAATGAAATGTGGGAGCTTTTGACTGACCAGGTCTAACCCCTATTATTCTTTTTTTTAACATTAGTGACAATCAAGATAACACATTTCGTCTAAGGGTAAGGGACTACTGTAGCCTATAGGATACTTACAAATATATTTCTGATATTCTGATACATTTAAATTCGGTTACGTGCCCGTTAAGATTTTGTTCTTAATTTGATGAGCCCTGTCACGGTCGCCAGTTATTATTCATAGAACATAGGAGATGTAATAAATATAATAATAATAAAGCTCCTTGGAACTGTTATTTTTGTTTGTAAGTATATTTTTGATAAAGATACAATAGCATTCGGTTAGGAGCCCTTTAAGATTTCAAACTAGTAATAACGTATGTATATTCACCGTCAGATTCATGTTAGCTTCCAAGGTAGTCAAAAACACAAATATATTTTTTTTTATAAATGAATTTTCTTTTATATAAAAAATATATTGCAGACGGGTATGAACTCAAATATATTGGATTATGTAACTCTTTAAATTATTGATCTCCGCCAAGTCAAGCAAAAAAGCGGCACGGCCGTACCATATATTTCTCAAAGCAGTTCAGGCATTTTCGACCCCCTATAACTTCGTTGTGGATAAAACTAGAAGCCTGAATTTTCAGTAACCAAGCAGGCGTTTTATAAACACGGTATATTTCAAATTTCATTCAATTTGAACCGGAAGTTTAAGAATTATAACTAGCCAAAGTTTCTTAGTTTTGTCAGTCAGTCCTGACTGACTGACTGACTGACCAATCATCAAAACTCTAAGGCACTTCTAGTATATATAGAAGCTTCAAATTTAGAGTACAATTAGTGTTTAGTGTATAAATCAAGAAAAAACTAAAATATTTTGCGATTTCGGTCCAGTTTCCTAGACATGTGTCTGACAACTGCATAATCTCATATAAATATATAGGATTACAAAGTTAAATTTGCAGTAAATGAATCAGTGTACCTCTAAATGTATAATATAATGGGATAATATGTGACGATAGGTACGTTGTTGGTATTCAAGAATAAAAAGGTACCGGAAAGGAAAAAAGTAGGATTATCTCCAAAGAGAAATGAGATGCCAACAAAAACATAACTTGTAAAAGAACCAAATCTCGCAACATTCTTCTGCCGCGAAAAGTTGTCAGATTCATGTAATACCAAGTCGGTTAATTTATTCAGTCCCTATATATTACTTACAAATTATATTTCAGTAAGAATTATAAAAGTGGTATATTAATAGAAGGGAAAAAACTTTAATTAACATAGAATTACGTTGACAGGTACATCGGCACTCTCTAAAAATATATTATACGCTAAGTGTACTCTTTCAATAAAAGTGTAGCACCACTGTCGTCGCGGAACAATTGTGTAAAACGAACCGAAATCTAAATCTGAACAAGCTCCATACTACCACACAAAGCATTAGCTTATTTACTGTAAATAATGGTGCCTTTGGAAGTGACTAGTGTCTCGGCCTAGTTTAGACGCTAGTGTATAAAATTTTATAGGATAAGTTATAATTCATACCATTTGTTCAAATGTCAAAAAAGATAAATAATGTAATCCTTACTTTGTGTCAATAAAATTATTATTATTATTATTAGCCGCTACCCGGGCTTCGCACCTTTCACCATTTTCTTCAGTATAATTATGAATACCATGTGAACATTGTAAGAATTGTGATTGATGCTTAAATCATTAGGAATATTTTCATTCCATTCACTGTTAAATATTAGACATGTAATGGTTGATGGCTATTATAGCGCTCCAGAAATGTGTCCACAAACCTGGGTGGACAGCAAAAAGTTTATTTTTTATAGAACTAAAGTGACAAACAAACTTACAGTCCACCTAATGGCAAGCAGCTACTGCAGCCAATAGAAGGAAAGAAAGAACCATTTATTTCATAATCACACTTTACACACAATTTAAGAAATTTAAATGTAAATTACAAGGGGCAAAGAATATTCATGCGCAGGTGTAAGACTGCATACGCATTAAAAATTATTTAATAAGCAGAACATGCATGATGTTAATTAATAATGAAACAAAAAATTTAATAAAAATTAAAAAAAGAATTTAAAGATAAAATGTGACATCAAATAGGTCTTCAACTCAGCATAATGCTACAGAGGCAGCGCTGGTTTTCAGTTGGAACCTTGACTTCACTGACGAGTCGGTGTGTGAACCTCGAATTACGCGTAACTACAACTTATAGACTAATACTAATTAGGCAGTGGGTTAAAGAGTAGTGCTAACGAACACAGTTAACACAGACATACTGTATAAATATCAATATAAATGGTGTGGAGTACATATTACATTAGATTATACCTGTACTTACACATAAAATAACTGGCTCTATGGGGAAGACAAAGCAAAGTAGCAATAAAATTTATGATTTTAGTACATAATATAATTTATATTCTGTACTCAAAGGGACACGCCATGTTACGGTAATAGACAACTGCAAACAACTTTTTTTTAAGCAAAGACCACTAAGGATTAAAATAAAATGCCTCATGACCTGTAATCACTAACTTACTGGCTCTTTATAACCCTTCATACAGTAACACAGCAGTGCAGGCTCTGCTATTTGGCAGCAGAAATAGATATAGTATGGTAACGGATTCCTAGGTATAAATGGAGTCCTACCACTTAGCGAGTCCCCACATTTATCGACTCGGAAGCGGCTTCAGCCGGTCAGAAAAACTTTCATGTCTACGAAATACGGGTGTTGCTAATGCTTCCTCATCACCATGTCGATCGACAGCAAAACGAGCGGTTTGCTGATTAGCTGATCGCATCTATACGGTGCTGAATCTAGCAGAACGCCCACCTCGACTTATTCAAGTTGCCGACAGCAGCCGAACGGCGGTGAAATTATTCGTTCGACTGATTTCATCTCCGATTGCAGCAAAACGCCGCAGAAGACGACCGAACAGTGTTGGACAACAGTTGTCTCAATTACGCAAGTAGTTAAAGGCCCAAACCATACGGACGGCCATAGCCCTAATCCAGGAGCCATAGGTTGGGGCTGGTAAAATTAAGGCCTAAACAACCTAAAAGGTAAATTATTCTAAAACTCTGAGCACGACACGTCTAGAGCGTGTATTTGTACTACTAAAGATATCTGGACAAAACCATTAACAGATTAGTCGTCGCCTCGGTCTACATACCGGAGGAAGACACTCCGCCCCCTCATGACCTCGACAGGCTGGTGAAATTATGCGAGAGGGCCGGACTAGAGGTTGTAATCGGGAGGGATACCAACCAATGAACGAAAAACCCAATGAACGAGGTAAGGTGTTAGTTGAATATTTATTTAACACTAACCTAACCATTTTAAACACTGGTTCTGAACCAACTTTCATAAATAAACGTTGTCGCACAATAATCGATTACACATTTGCAACAGAAGGAGCAGCTAAACTAATAACGGGATTGCATGTGTCGAAAGAGGCCTCATGCTCAGACCACAGATGGATCTGCTGCGTACTACAGGTCGATATCCCTGCTATACAACAATGGAGGTATCCCCCCAAGGCGGATAAAATAAAATACCTTAATAGGCTGACGTCTTCGCTCGCGGGTGTTGAGGTGACAAATACCATAGCAAATCGATCGCTCCTTGAAGAACAGGTAGCAGATGTTACTAAAGCCATGATGGATAGCTACCATTAATCATGTCCAGAAATCACTCCACCAAGACATGCTGAGGTAAAGCAACCGTGGTAATGAACTAGATAGCAAACGTAAGGTAAAAAAACGTAGTAAACGTAAAGGTAAGAAAAGCCCTAAATATGGCCATGTATACCTCAATGGATGGAGCTACTATACAAGAAAGCTAAGTGTGAATACAAAAAATGTATCAGATATCGACGCTCAATAGGGTGGCGCAAATTCTGTGTCCCGGAGTGTCCGAATGACGGATTAGTGAATCTATTTTAACAAACTGTAAAAATAATAATAATAAAAATAAGATGTAGATCGAACAAAAAATTTATATTGAAAACCTGAAGGTAGCCGGCCTAACTATAAACACCTCAGCCCCCCCCCCCCTCCCGTGACCATGGCTTCCCGAGAAATTGCGCAATTGGATCACCAGCTTTATTGCAGATCGGAGCATCAAGGTTGTTGTAGACGGTGCAAGCTCCGATTACAAGCCTATTAATGCTGGTGTTCCACAAAGCTGCGTGCTATCACCAACGCTTTCTTCTGCATATCAATGATATGTTGCAAACCCGAACATTCATTGCTATGCAGATGACGGCACTGGCGATGCTCTGTACACCGGCCGTGCCAATATTTCTCGGGAAAACGTCTCCGACTACCGGAACAAACTTGTGTCTGAAGTCGAGTCTTTGCTGAACAAAGTCTCGGATTGGGGGCGACTAAATCTAGTCCAGTTTAACCCCCAGAAGACACAAGTTAGCGCGTTAACCGCAAAAAAGAACCCCTTTGTCGTATCTCTTCAGTTTCAAGGCACTCCCCTTGTTGCCTCAGCCAGTATCGGAATCCTCGGCGTCGACATATCGAGTGACGTGCAGACGCAACTGCACTTGGAAGAGAAGGCCAAATTGGCCTCTAAAAAGCTTGGCGTGCTCAGCAGAGCGGGCCAGTATCTCATACCGGCAGACCGCCTGCAACTTTACAAGGCGATGTTCAGCCGCACATGGAATACTGTTCCCATCTCTGGACTGGAGCTCCCCAGTACCAGCTCCTTTCACTAGACCGCATTCAGCGCAGAGCTGCTCGAATCGTCGACGACCGAGTGCTTTCCGATCGGCTCGATTCACGGTCGCTGCGAAGAGATTTTGCATCTCTTTGCGTATTTTATCACATCTGTCACGGGAAGTGCTCTGAGGAATAGTTCAGATTAATCCCAGCCGCCAAATTTCATGAACACACTACGCGGCAAACCTCCCGATACCATCCACAACCATCTGAACGCTTGGCGGTCCACCAATATACGTTTCACTAGTTTTCTTGCGCGTACGAACTCTCTGTGGAATAGTTTACCACCGGCGATTTTTCCGGACCGATACGACCTGGGGACCTTCAAGAAAAGAGCTTACTCCTTTCTAAAGAGCCGGCAACCCACCTGCAATTCCTCTGGTGTTGCGGATGTTCATGGGCGGCGGTAGTCACTTAACATCAGGTGAACCTGCTGATGCTCGTTTGCCCCCTCTTCTATAAAAATAAAATAGAAAATGTTGCGAAGTTACACCTACTCAAATGCCAATAAATATCTACTACTGGCCATGGCATAGTCCACAGCAATTTAGCATAATTACCTTGCTTGATAAACATCTCACATTTCTGAAAGTTCTGCTAGTCACATTTGTCTGGGTTAATAATTAATTATCAATTAATGATTAAACAAACCTAATTGCCTTAATATGTTTCCAACTTGCAATACCCGTTAATGGTCCCTTTTGTTCCCTTGTCCTTCCATGTACTGTTAACAACTTGCATCCAGCATTTTGTAACATCAAAGCATATTGTATTGATTTATCAATGCTTTCAAAAACTCTTACTTTACAAGTAATGGGTACTGTAACAGCTTTTGACATGGCACTTACTAAAACAATAATAATCATATTTAAAATATGGTTGTAGTTTTGATTAAAATCAAACTGTTTTATTTTTTTATTACGTAAATAATTACCAATTTTTTGTAACAGGGACCAATCATCTTGTAAAAAAGCACCATATTTGCCACGCTTTGCTATAGACTGAGGGCATCCAAGATTCACATCTATTGCATCACAATCCTTTTCAACAAGTTTAGCAGCTGCAGCCATTACATCCGGGTCGTTACCACAAAACTAGGACAGAAAAGGTAGGTAACTATTATTGGCTATGCATTCCAAAAACTAAATGTTCATCCATTGCAGAAGTTAAAAAAATAATAAATTTTTTATCAGTTCCAAAACAACCACTGTTAAAAGTTTTCTGATTTAAAACTGCATGGGAGGTGCCTTGTACTCTTGATAGATTTTGTCACATTAATTTTATTAGATATCATAAAATATAAATCTGTTTACCCTTTCTACGTTTTAGAGAATTTCAGCATTTATAATATATTACATAAAAAATACTTAACATATAGCGCAATAGCTTTAAGACATCTAAATTTTACTTTTATTTCCTTGTCCCTAGTTAGTAGTAGTTACAATCAGTTAAAAAATGCATATTTGAAGCAGAGCTCCCATGGCGCAAAAAAAGGATTCTTTGAAATCTATCTCATCCGTAACCCGTAGGCTAATTTACATAATTTTATCGGCAATATTTTTAGCTCAACACAAACAAGGTTTGTAAACAATAAAAATCTGAATTTGTCTAAAAGACATTAAAAAATAACCATAAGTTGTCTATGGGAAAATACATGTAATGCAAAAGCGCGAACTTTAAGACTTTTACTCCACTCCGTTTATGATGCTAGCAAAAGGTTTTACCTTTGCATCTGCATCGGCCCTAGTATAGTAGGTCTTAATAATTTTATTTTTACAGCTTCGTCAAGCTGAGTCAGGTGTTGCTAGTATTGCCAAATTAATTTTTTTAAAACAGGATCAAAAATTTATTAGAAAAATATGTTTTTTTTAATAATAAAATTAACTAGCTACAGTAAGCGCTTGAATTGAGCAGAACATAAGAATGCGTTAGTTTTGTGACCTGATTGGTAATTAATTAGTGATATGTTGATAAACTGCAAATTAAATAAGAAATTTTAAATCTTAATGTGAAAGTTTGTGTAAACGTTTGTAACCACATATTTATACAAAACAATTTTGATAAAATTTAAAACATTGAATAAAACACAATAATAATTGTCGAAGTATTATTTATTTCTTAAATAGAGAAAAATAGTCAGTATTTAATCATCATTCATGAGATTCTAAAATAAAAGACATGTCAGAATTGTCATCATCACTATCCTCTCCTTCACTGATCTCTATCACAAATTGATTGATAGTTTCTTCCATGAGGCCATCTCTTTGCCTATAATTTTGTTTTAAACCTATTACATGATAGGCAAAGTCGCACCAATCTTCCTCTGTGATCTGACTAAGTTTTGAGTTAATCTGTTAAGTTTAATTGAAGTTAAATCTGAATTTACAATGTGATGTCTAACAATTCTTTTAATTTTTACTCAAGCTAACTTGTTCAGGTTGAGATCACACATATACGGTGGTAATCTAACTACAACATGGCGATGACTCCTTATGAATTGATCTACTTTAAATATCTTTTCTCTAGGCTTATGCAAATTAATCAAACAAAAGAACTCATCTTTTAAGACCCTTGCATATTATTTTTATTTTACCATTCCAACTTTACAGGTTTGGTGCAGGCCTTAATTGGGACTTAATTTTATTGTACACTGTGATATGGTGTGTTATCGATAATGATGATGCTGTTTTGTGGGAGGTTAGAAATAAGCATTTCAGACACCCAATTTACAAAGTCCACACTATTCATTTGGCCGTGATAATCTTGATTGATTACTTAATCTCTTGAATGATTATTTAAAAACCTCTTTGCGATCCTGCATGTACAAGAATGAGCATGTTTTCAGAACTGGTATCTGTCAACACCGCATCAATCTTATCATTTCTCCAGCATTTTTTAAAAGTTAAATTATTTTCAACTCATGTTTCACCCAAAAAGAATATATTTCTATTTTCTTATCTAAATTGATAGATTTTCCCCAATTATATTCACTGTCATGCAAATTACAACAGCTAGCCTTTCCACTAAAATAATAAATGTTTTATTTTAGTGGCAAGGCTAGCTGTAGCTTAAGACACTTCTTAGTCTTCTTACTTCTTAGGCTTCAGCCACTTATATCTCATTTCTTTTTATAATTTTCTTAAAGTGGTCACTCTCCATGGAAATTCAATTTTTTCTCTTAACTGCTAAAACTTTACGACAAGTAGAGACAATTTTTTTTTAATATAAATTTCTTTGTATTAAACTTCTATCAAAATCATTGATGTCCTAATTTTTGTTTTTCTTACACAATCTTCTTTTTTAGAAGGTGAACAAACCATGTTTAGCTTATTTTTGAAAAACAGCCAATGTCCATTTAGAAAGTCCGGTATAATGGCTCGCTCTATCAAAAGAATTTAATGGTAAATTCAAAATCTTCTTTTGTTTTTCTTTAACACACTTGTCCAGAACTTTGTCCTGAAACTTCCCGTGCTTCGCGTTAATAAAAACACATTTTTTTGTAACTTCTTCGGCTGCTGAGCTTGAAGGCCCTAGTTCGGTCATATTTAAATACAAAAATGTAAGGCAAACCCTAAAAAGGAAATAGATGCACACGCGACAGTTATCAAGGACAATGCTACACTATGGGCATCCAAAGCAAGTAGAATGAGCGGTGGGAGAGCATGCTCCCGCCCTTTACCTAAGACCCCGACTACACTCAACTACTAGTGCAACTTATGCTGTACTATCCTTACTGTAAATGTGCATGACATACTACAGTTTCTTAACAGTTTCCCTATCTGCCATATAGACACAATAGTTAAACAATCAAAATATTCATATGATTCATGGGACAGGGAAAGGGTTAAATTTATGTGTAAAGAAGCATCAATAATTTGAAATCTACACACATACATAACAACTACGATATGTAATACAATTACAATTAGTTGAAAACATGGAGATAACAAATTCAATCTCATACTATGATTAAAATAAAGTACCTACTATTACTCAAAGTAGCCAGGAGATACACATATTTCTCCTAATGTTTTTACCACATATTCATAATTCTTTTTCCGACTTGTATGTCAGAAGACCATACATAAGCATACCTTATGCTAAAAGTTAGCAAAAGATTTTTACGTGGTAGAGCCATGCTGCAGTTATATTAGTAGTATAGTTGTAGCACGAATGGGTCGGCTCGACCGGGGAAGGACCACACTCACACAGAATACAGCATCAAATAGTAGCTTAATGCTGCTGTGTTTCATATGGTGAGTGTAGAGAACCAGATACCCTTTTTACCGGAAACGAGGCATTCTACCTAAGTCCTCACGGACGACAACACATCTGCATTTTGATTCATAATCGAGGATAGATGTAGATGTCTATGGGCCCCAGCAACCACTTACCATCAGGTGGAATGTGTGCTTGTTTGTCATCTTATTCTGTAAAAAAAAAAGATAAATTCAATTTTATAATTATTATGAATAACAATAATAATATACATCCATTTATTATTTGTTGGTATAAATAAACTATTTATATAAACATGTTAAAAAACAATTCAATCAGACTATTAACCACAGCTACAGTTGAGTGAACTTCTTTTTCACCAGCTTTGATAAGTCTACAGCTAGACATAAGCCTCTTTTTTAGTGGTCATCATCATTACACCACTGAAAAGTCCACAGCTGAACTAGCATATGCTCCCTCCCGCCCTTCTCCAACTCGGACCAAAGCCACATGCATCCATATCCAATAACTTTTTGCATGTCTTACCGGTGATTTTTCTACATTATTTTTTTTATTTTCAAAACACTTGTTGCAGAAAATATTTACCTGCACAATTAAAGGGCGGTCTTCGTAGCATGTTGTAAAATATTCTTTTCTATATTTGGAGTCTTTAGTAAAAATACTACTATGTAACATAGGTGTGTAACACAATTGGGCCCCGTGATTTTTACATAGTAATCTCCAAGCTAATTCACTAGCATCAACCATTGGGGCCACAATGTATTGTGGCCTTCCGATTCTATTAAACCATTTCGAAGACATGGCACACATAACACACAGATGTCTATAATTACATTCATATAATTTTAAATTTACAAAATATTAACATTTCATTTCTTTGACATATGGTACGTACGTCTACGATTTTTTTTTCAATTTATCTGGCTTTACGGCTCTGGGTACTAGCTCTTCTGCGCTTATAATTTCTTTCAGAATCTTCATTTTTTTTCACAATATGCTGATCGAGTGAATCGAGCCAATCGGAAAGCACTGGGTCGTTGACGATTTGAGCCGCTCTGCGCTGGATGCAGTCAAGTGGAAGGAGCTGGCACTGGGGAACTCCAGCCCAGAGATGTGAACAGTATTCCATGTGCGGCCGAACCTGCGCCTTGTAAAGTGCAGGCGATGTGCCGGCATGAAATACTGTCCTGCTCTTTTTAGAAGCCAATTTGGCCTTCTCTTCCAAGTGACCACGAAACTGCAAGTCACTCGATATGTCGACGCCGAGGATTCCAATACTGGCTGAGGCAACAAGGGGAGTGCCTTGAAACTGAGGAGATACGACAAAGGGGTTCTTTTTAGCGTTTAACGCGCAAACTTGTGTCTTCTGAGGGTTAAACTGGACTAGATTTAGTCACCCCTAATCCCAGATTCTGTTCAGCTAAGACTCGACTTCAGACACAAGTTTGTACCGGTTTTCCTCAACTTAGCACAGTTCACTTCATCGACAACCGCTAAGTTTACTTCATACCCTCTAGCTACTCTAGTGATATTGTGGAGAGTTTTTGAACTTTTATTTACTACTTACTGATACAGATCGACACTTTTTCAACTATTCTCCTATGGAAGTAGGTTCTACTTACTTCTACACTTCATACTATGTACACTACAATCATAGATAAATAGATATGTAGCAAGTTGCGAGCTAATTCTTATATCTTCTATGCTCGGCTGAGGGAGGCTATTTATGATTTCAGAGGAGTTTTGGTGGGAACTTGGCCGTTGGCGGATCGTCGCTCAGTTTTGTCACTGAATAATGGTTTGAAGTAGATTTTGATTCGTAAAAGTGATGCGATTTTGCGAATGAATGTTTACATGTGTGAACAATTAAAGAAAACGACGAAATAAGTACTTTGATGTTGATATAAACCTAAAACTATTTTGTTCGCTTGGGTGTCGTCTGAACTATAGTGGCTGTCGTCATCAACTGTCCGCTGGATTGAGTTGTCGTCAAAATCTCCCAAAGGATTCGAAAGAAGATTCCGAAAGAAATGTGAGGCTCAGAAGGGTTGGAACCCAGAGCTGTAAAGCCAGTTAAAAATCTATGATTTCATTCATCATAGCTTGCTACATATTTATTTATCTATGATTTCATTACAACCACAGAGTGTAGAGTACCTTTATAATTTTAAATTTTATTCAGACTACCATATTATTTTATTTATACAAATAACAACAACAGCTTCAGTTCAGTTAATTTTAAAAGATTTAGGTTTCCTTCAATTGAAAAAATGTCTCAAGATCTTATGGTACGATTAATGGTATTACTATTTGTACAATAATAATTGTTTTACATAAATACTTACATTTCATATTGTTTCAGAGTCAATTTTATAGTTGCTTTAATTTACCTTTGCAAGAGAGGTTAGTAGAATTGACGAGGATTATAGACCAGTCAAGCCCAACTAAAGATTTACAAGCATTATTTCCGCAACTCATAAATAATATATTTGCTCCAACATTCAATAATGGCTGGGGCTTAAAGACAGTTACATGTGATGGAAACAGAAATTTGTTTGAAACCTTAATGGCATTCTTAGAACCTCAAGGGCCAATGTTTCAATTGTGTTATAAATTACTTTCTGATCCGCAGTTAAAGTATAATCTTCCACTAAATGTTCTTCCGGTAAGATTTTGACAACTTTAAATTCATTTTATTGTATAAAATTGAAATAAATGTTTGATATTATTTTAGTTGGACTTGCAAATGACGTTGGAAAGAGGTCGTTGTCCACAATTTTATGTAGATATGTTGTCTGTGGATTCCCATACACTAAATGTAGTGGGATTAACACTGAGTATCCTTTTTAAAAATTGTCACTTAATGCTTATGATTGTATGAATTGTAATTCAATCAACATTATCAACAATAATTATGATCTTAAGTTGTGACTAAGCTTTTGTATGTAGTGCTAGGGTCAAAGCTTTGAATATTCTTCATATAAGTGTAGTAGTGAAGAACTCTTTGTTTGTTATAAAGAAATACCTACTTAAGAAAAGCTAGTTACAGCCTATATACTTCCCATTGCTAGGCACAGACTTTTTGGGACAAAGAAGTGTATGCAACTTTGACACCATTACTGTTGCCAGATTTTACATAATTCTTTTCATGTCATTTAATACAGATTTCCTCAAAATTTTCCTTCAACACTGAGCATTTTAAACTAACAATTTCGTCGGTGCTGGCAGGGATCAAACCCAGGCTGCTCCTGTACTGTATAATTTACGATAAGCACTTAGCCCTTGATCTATCATGGTGCTTTTTTGAGAAAATATCTTATTTTAACTACATCAATAATACAGGTGAGAGTCAGTGTAACTGATAAGTATGGATTCCAGAATGAGAACTATTATTAAGAACTATGAAATATAACTAGTCTTCAATGGAAATATTTTATCAACTTACATTATGTGAGTTCACACTTTGTAACATATCTGCTTATCAAACATTTATCAAAATATTATATACCTAGTCATATTTTAATGAGGAAGGAACTAAGTGCTGCAGGCAAGGATATTTGTAATAAGTTGAGCAAGGCTGATCTACCTAGGGTCCCGATAATCCGAACACACTAAATTTACACCCTGTTAGGATTAATGAGGTATTTGGATTATATTATGTAGATATTTTTATAAACTAGCCCTTGAAATACAGGTATAATATCCTAGTTTAGGGGCTGTTGACTACTTTAAATTTTTGTACATGTAATATGTTTATCAATAAAAATTATTGTTATTATTAATGTAAAAGGTGTTTTTTGAAATGTAGCAGATTTATAATTTAAAGTAAATATAAATTTTAATCAATATGTATTAATTGTAAAAAAAACCTGGTATAGTATTTTGGCGAGTGGTGTTTAACCCTTTAACCGGCCGTCTTCAAATCAATTGTTGTGCCCCCAGCGCCCAGCAGTGTGAATCAAAAAATAGATACCTAAAACAAAGAGTTATTTAACTGTTTGTAATTTCGTTTTTAAAATGCGCAATTGCATTGTATCCCATCTCTATGGTCATACATATGCGACGCGCGCGATAGACACCGAAGAAAAGTCCAAGATGCCAATTACTTATTTTTGATTAAGCTTTTTCAATAGGTACTTCGAGCTACGAGACATAATTTTAAGTAATAGTTGTAAACAATATCTCTATTTAATAATGGTTTTAGTGAAGAGTGTTTTAGTAAGAAGTGAAGATAGAACGTAAAAATCATGCATGTTCTCTGTCGCACAAATCCGACATGAGTGGTAGGGGCATGGAAACATCTGTCGAATTAATGCGACACAAGCGGTCAAAAGGTTAATGACAAAGAAAATGCTTTATCCCTCAATTTACACAATAACATTTTTTTTTGAAATTGTAATATCCACTTGAGCAGGGGGGGTCGTTCAGATTATAGAGGCGTTCAAATAACTGAAGGTTCGGATTATCGAGGCTCTACTGAATTCTGAATGACAAAAGCCATTCTGTAGAATTATTATATTCAACTCATAGCAAGCTTATTAAAATAATTGTATATTATATTGTGATTGTGAATATAACATGAAAAAAATCTATTGTAATATATTCTATTGCATACATTAATCAATATGTAGGTGTGTAGTAAGATTATCATTGCTTATTATGTGAATATTTAAAACTTACATTTGATGTGATATTTAATACAATACTAGTGGTCCGCCCCGGCTTTGCACAGGTGATTTGTGGATCTCGACAACAGTGCCACCTACCGGGTTTAAATATACTTTACGACCTATTTTCATACTTACCAAATATGCATAAAAAATTTCATAAAATCGGTGGAGCCATTCTGGAGGAGTGCTACCACAAACACTGTGACACGAGAATTTTGTATATAAGATAATATTCTAAAATAATCATTTTCTTATCATGAATCTCAGACCCATTTGACTATTATATATTTCATTTTGCTCTGCATCTCATCAGTAACAGTCAAAACAAAAGTTCATGGGAGAATTGGAATAGTGCTTATTTTTCTCTGGCATGTGACTACTTAATGCATTTTTTGCCCTCGGATCCAAATGTACCAGTGCTACCACATATACCATATTATACAGGAAAAGTGCCTATGGTTGCTCCATTGCAAACTGTAAATAGGTTAGTTTTTAAATTAATGTTAGTGTAACTATGTGCTTAATTACAATTAAAATAGCCCTTTTATCCTCAAACTCCTTTCTTCTGCAAAATTTTTTCTCCTTTCCTTGACTTACTATAACTTATACTTACTTTAACTAAGTTCAGTGTGCCTCTTAGCAAAAGCCTGCTTTAATGATTTCTATTGCTTTCTGCCCTTTGCACCTCTTCCCTGTTTTAGACCAGTTGTGATTTTAACTTTGACCTCTCATCTTTTACGTTTTTATTGGGGGCTCCGTAACATATGACACGCGTCCATCTCCTTTTCATTGGAAGGAGCAAAAAGCCTGAGTACAGGGTGTCCCCTTCTCTCCGTACTACACAATGTAACAGCACCAATTAAAATAAATGGTGAGAGGAAGTGCTGCAGACACTTGCTATGACAATGTTCTTATCAAACCTTTGTACAGCATGTGTAGATAGCGATGCATGGATAACAGGATCTACTGCACCCACCACTACTAGGTCCACAACACATTTTAGTT